TTTCAAGCTAGTTTCTAAGTCATAAAGGTTGTTTTTAATGTCAAAAATAAATATAAAAATAACGGTTTTTCAACCGTTATCACTAATACATCTAATAGTCTCACATTACTTAAAAATTGAAGTTAAGTATAATTTAAATACATTTTTCCTTTAATAGTTTAAAAAGTCTTTTAAGAACAAAATTGTGACAGTTTTAAACTCCTCTAAAGAAAATAATAACTTGGGTGTAATCACTTTTGATCAGAACATTAATAACCTTTTTTTCTAAAAAGAAAAAAAAAAGAAATGAATCAAATTTTGTTGACTTAAAATGTAATATATAAATTATAATAAGAAAAAGTGTACGGAATATTGTTGATGTAAAATGTAATACATCAATTATAATTTGATTCCTAACAAGAACTGACACCATAGTTTAGATTGAAGAATTTAAAAATCCCTTGCAAATTGCAAGAAAAAAGATAGAAGAACTATATTTAGCATTACACATACCACAAATATTGTAACATGAGAGTAAGTGGTTGTATGTCGAACCTTCCTACAATTGGTATCAAAGCCAATGGTTCAGGTCTGGTGACCAAGCTCAAATGAGTACGTCCTTCCATGGTCAGGTGAAACCTTGACAGGTGGCTGGTGGTAGATAGCCAGATGAATCATGGGAGGTGGAGAGCAAGAAATGCTTAGTGGCATGACCATGGGTCTATAGTGTACTCGAATAAGAAAAGACTTCACCTATAGGGGAGGTGGAGAACAATAGTCCTTTATTTAAGGGGAGGATTGTTAGGATACAAACAAAGTCAACAAGAGATGGATATGAGTTTATATACACATAAGATACCTCCCTTGGTAAGAGGCCTTTTGGAGTTGTACCAAAAGCAAATTCGTTAGGGCTTGATCCAAAGCGGATAATATCTTACCAGTGTGGAGTCCTATGTGTATGTCACTGCCATCAAATTTCTCGATCTTCACCTTCCCTTCGTCCAATGCCATTGCTCCCACTGCCTTTGAAGAAATCTCCCACGACTTCTCTAAATTAAGATTCCCCAGAAAAAAGAAAACCAAACATTTTCTGATGTGGAAGATCAGACAAAGTTGCAACCACAAAGCATACTAAGAAATTGGCTCTTGATACCAATTGTGAGGAAATTTTGAAATGAAGAATCTTGGTATAGGCAAACAAATTCTTGGTATGAGAATCTCCAAGGATAGATCTGAAGGTATTTTGAACTTATCTTAGGAGAAATATATAGAAAAATTACTTAGTAGATTCAATGTTTGAAATGCTAAAATAGGAATACACCTTTGGGAACTCACTTAAAGTTTTCAAAAGGGCAATCTTCTCAGACAAATGAAGAAGAATCTTACATGTCTAAGGTGCCATATGCCTCTATAGTAGGGAGCTTGATGTATGTTATAGTTTACGCCAGACCTGACATAGCACATGCAGTGGGAGTTGTGAGTAGGTTTCTATCAAATCCTAGGAAGGAGCATTGGGAAGGTGTAAAGTGGATATTGAGATATTTGAGGGGTACTTCAAAGATGCATTTGTCTTTTAGAAAAACCAATCTCACTTTACAAGGGTTCTCTGATGCAGACTTGGGAGGAGATCTAGATGGTAGAAAGAGCACAACAGGTTACATTTTCACGTTGGGTGGTACAAACTATCAGTTGGAAGTCTAAACTTCAAGGAAAAGTCTCTCTTTCTCTCAACCACTGAAGCTGAGTATGTAGCCATCTCAAAAGCAGCAAAGGAGATGATATGGTTGAAGAATCTTTTAAAAGAATCAGGGAAAGAGCAAGATGACCCTCCATTATTCAGTGATAGTCAAAGTGCTATATTACTTGCTAAAAATTCAGTTCTTCATTCTAGATGCAAACACATTGAATTGAAGTATCATTTTATTAGAAACTTGATAAATGATGGTGACCTGTCTTTGTAAAAGATTCCAAGTGCAGAGAATCCACATGATATGTTGACCAAGGCTATCACAACAAATAAGTTGAGGCTTTGTATTGCCTCAACTGGCCTTTAAGAGTAAGTGATGATGAAGGCAACAACACTAGGAGATAATGTAAATCAAGCTTCAAGTGGGAGAATTATTAGTATTATGTAGTTTAATTTAGTCTCACATCATTTAATACTGTGAGATGTAATTATTTATTTTAGCTATATAAACAATTTTATATAAAGCTTGAAAAACACACCAAAATAAAAATGAATTTTCTAGTGTAATCGTGGATGTAGGCATTTATTGACCGAACCACGTTATTCTTATGTCGTTTATTTCTCTCTTTTCTCTCTTTTATTGTCATGTTTCTAACCGTAATTTCATGTCAAACAAAGTTCTACAAATCTTCTATTTATATTAGGCTTAATTATTATTTGGTTACTATATTTTAGATTGTTGGTAATCACATAAAAAAAAAATAATTACTTCAAGAAATAAAAATCCATAAAGAAAAAAATGTAGATAACAACACATAAGAAATTTAATGTGATTTTAATTACTATTGACGAATATTCAATAAATTACTCCACATTCCGGATAAAAACTGCTAGCTTCTCAATTTTTCTAACAAAACTATAAATCTCATGCAAATTTTCTAAAAAAAATCTGCTTTTGTAAGAAAATCTACAAACCATCTTATGTGTGTCAAAGTGTTCTTATTTAACTCTCTCTCTCTATATATATATATATATATAGGTTTAATACGTATTTTGGTCCCTCTTTTCGTAGAGTCTGTTCAAATTGGTCCTACGTTTTTTCAAAAGTTCACTAAGATCCCACTTTTCGCAAAAACGATGCACGTTAGTCCTTTTTGGTTACGGCGTTAAAAAGACTAACGACACAGCTGCCCAGCTGGCACAAAACTGATGAGCTGTACATTTTTCGTTGAGGTGGCACTGTGAATTGGTGATTCATCCTGAAAGTAGAGGATTCATGGTTGTTTTTCCCAAATTAAAAAGCAAAGTTAGGGTTGTTGGACATTCGTGGTACTGTTGTTGTGAAATTTAAAAGCAGAGGTTTAGGGTTAGGGATGACTTCATCACAGAGTTGTTCTTCCTGTTCGAAGGCAACATCCAAAGGATTTTCGCAATCCTCACACGGTGTTGTTTCCAGGGGAGTTGGGATAACCCCTATTTGCCACAGTGGTGATATTGCTGTAATGAAAGTTGCTAGAACTTCAAGGAATGCTGGGAGGAAATTTTGGGGATGTCGCCATTACAAGGTGTTTTGAATACCGTAATGACTTTTATGTGTTTTGGATTTTACCCCAAATGTAATTGTCAAATTTTTTTAACCCTATCTTTTAAATTAAATTAATTTAAATTAATTAATTTTAACACATATCACAGTGACACCTCAACAAAAAAATGGACAGCTCATCAGTTTTGTGCCAGCTGGGCAGCTGTGCCGTTAGTCTTTTTAACGCCGTAACCAAAAAGGACTAACGTGCATCGTTTTTGCGAAAAGTGGGATCTTAGTGAACTTTTGAAAAAAAGTAGGACCAATTTGAACAGACCTTACGAAAAGAGGGACCAAAATACGTATTAAACCTATATATATATGATGAAATGAAAAATATTTTATGTTAAATAATAACTACTTCAACGAGGGTAACAACAATATTTCCTTAATTATTGTATATTATGATATATGAAAGTCCTTCAAAAACATTATAATCTCATTATTCAACATGTTTTTAATTAAATTATAAAAATAATTTATTGTTTGACCTTAATTACTTTCATTTGATCGTAAAACCTTACATTTTTATAACACTGACATAAAAGTAAAGAATATCACTATGCAAAAAAATAACACTCACAACATTCAACTAACCAAAAAATTAAATGATAAATACTCAATTAAAAAATATATTTTTTTAATATTCAATAAATAAAAAAAGTAATAGAATGAAAACACATAAAATACTTAAACCTTAATAAGTTATATTTTATTGATGTTTTATATTTCAATACACATGTACTATTATATACATATTTCAATCCTATACCTTATCATGTAACAAACAGAATTTTATGATAGATTATAATATAACATTTATCATGTGGCAATTATGATATGATAGATTATAATATAACATCCACTACTAATAAAAGAAAATATTTTATAGAACTTTTACAAAACATATGGATAAAATAATTATATATTTAATAAGTATATAATTGAGAGATGAAACAAAATCTTTTAAAATAATCTAAACACTAAAACCATATTTAATGAACTCTTAAGGATTAAATAAGATGCTATAAATAAACAGAATTAAAATAAGTTAAAATATAATGAAATTATATATTACGGAAAAGTATTTAATTTGAGAAATAATACATACATAGATATGAGAAATCGATAAGAAAAATTAAAGAAAAAAAAAAAGAGTGATATTTTAAGTTGAGGTGAGATTCACGAGATGACTATGGGGATAAACTTCCCATAAATTGTGGTCATTCCCCATGTATCCGTTTCGCTTCCATTGAATACCTTTCAAACTAGACATTGTTTCTTGTGTTAACCACATGATTATGATGGAAACTTTATTCATAAACAAAAAAAAAACAATAAATATGAGATTATATTAAAGTAAGTGTACGCTTACTTTTCAAACCCTCATAGTTAGGACTCAAACATTATTCTTTATTCCAAATCTTGTCCTCAAATATAGTATTTATAAACATATTAAAATGATTGTACAATAATTTAAAATTAACAAAGATATTCTTTCATTCTTCGCAATTCCTCTCATCCGAACAATCCTAAACTGAAAAGAAAATCCTTAGAAAAATGAAGGAGATAAAAGATAGCTTGAGTTTAACATATATATAAAAAAAAACACTTTGTAACTAAAGTTTACATAAAAAATAATAATTTTATAAGCGGCAAGAAAAAATCTAAAGATTGTAAATACCTTATGTCTTAATACAAATAATCATCTTTAACGAATACCACTTGACAAAAATGGTAATGTATTGTGTTTCTTAATCAAGTAATACAGCAATCATTTCATGTCATATTAATATGTATTGATGGATAGGTAAAATAATCCTAATTTTGATAGTTAAAAAGACTAAATTTTATTTATAAATTGTCATCTTCATAACTTTTTAAGCAAGATTAGCTCATTAATCTAAGCTAAATCATGCTTTAATATAAAAATGAATCCTCAATTTATCTCTTTCCCCAGTAAATTACAACTTTTAAGTCCAACGGTTCCTTCTCAGAAATCTAACTGAAACTACAAATTTTATTAAACTACAGTAACTCACCACAACAAACACAAGTCTCAAGGATCTCTGATGGAAACCGGCATAGTCGGTGACAGGGGAACAAAGGAAACCGAATTCAAGTGTCCGAAACTGACCGGCGAAGCCGGTATCTGAAACTCCGACTGCGAAGAAGACGACGGCATCGAGTTCCGCAGAAACTGCATGTACGCCGAGACAGGGGACTCCGCGTGGACACTGGGAAACGGCGGTAGAGGTGAGGGAGGCGCGGCGGCGACGGGGTGAGGCGGCGGACGGTGGCTGAGAACCTGCGGAAGCGGCGGCGGGCGGAGGCGGTGGAGGCGAGAGGTTGCAAGCGGTTTGGGTTGGTGGCTGTGACCGGGCGAACCAGTGAGCTTTTGGACCATGTCCCTGAAATCGTTCTTGCTGATGTTGTACACCTGTGGCTGAGATTCGGGGAGAGAATCGAAGGTGGGTTTCTTAACGTTGGGTTTGGAAATGTTATGTGAAAGCTTGTTGAGTTGTTTCAGATACTGATCTCTCATAGAGGTTGAAGAAATTGATGATGATTCATAGTTTTTGTGTTCCATTTTCTTTTCTTTGCTTTCTCACTACAAACACTTTCTCTTGTTAAACCCAATACTGAGGTATAAATATAGATACAGAGTGTGACAGAGAGAGCAACATATGATACATGATTAAAATCAACTTAATTATTGTGAAATTGAGAGTGGATTTATCATAAAAAGTTTAATAATATTTTTTAAGAGAATTTTTAATTAGTTGATATTTTTGGTAATAATTATAATAAAAGAAAATAGAGATAGAGGTGAGTTTGGTGGGAAATTATTGAGGAAAGTGTTTGTTGGTTGTGAGTATAATAATTAATGAGTAAAGAGAGTGATGAAGTTATTAATAAGATGGTGAGAAAAGAAAAAGGGTGATGGGTGTCTTTGTTGTGTGTTAATGGATGTATAATGTAGATGAGTGGTCTACCTCATAAGAGGTTCGGTTTATCAATATACGTTTGACTGTACGTTAATTTGTTGACCGCAATTTTTAATGAAAAAGACTATTTTATACAATTTTTGTATTTTTTTCTGTAAAATTTTAAATACTTAATTAAGTTTCAAGTTATTAAAAAAATTTAATTAAGTCTTTAATAACTTTTTATAATTTATTAGATATTCAATAAATTTTAATTTTTTAATTCATCTCTTTTATATATATTTTATATTTTTATCTCTCATTGATAAGTATTATTTATTTATTTATTTATCTTTGAAAATTGGAAAAAATTGTAAATAACCAATTAGATAAAAGATTATAATAATATTTTTTACTCAAAACATTATTAAAAATAATAACACTTATTGCATGAATGTGTTAATATTGTTTTTAAAACAAAGTGAGCACTAATTCATAAACACATCTTTTACTACATGTCAAATTCAAGTATACTAAAAACAAAAATATGTTTTGACATGCATATAAAAGTATTGATTCATGAAGTTATCTCTCATTACATGTGAGATTTAAGTTTACTAAAAGCAAATATATGTTTTGGGATGGTTACCCAATAAAGTTGTTTAGTCTTGTCTTTGTAACAGATTGGATGTGAGAGCATTTATTCATTAATGCATCTCACAATACATGTTAGATTTAAATGTACTAAAATTAAAAATGTGTTTTTGCACTCTTAATGTTGGTGTTGTGTATGCTATTAAAATATGATAACTCTAAAATATTTTTTCCACTAAACACAATGGAATGAGTTCAGAATGCCTAAAAAGTAAGTTAGGTGTTGTAAAAGTTAGTCAAAAAATAACATCAACATCATAATCGAAGGGTGAGAATTATTGCACAACAATTACATTTAAGACACGACTAAGTCATGGAAATCAGTCAACATCAATGAAACATCTTCGTTCATTATAACATCAGTGCCTTATATTACAAAGGAACAATATAATATCTAAATATTATTACATCAAGCATTAAAAGTAATAATTTTTTATTCATTCCCCATAATGGTGTCTAGTTCCACATCGCAATCATTACCTATTCCTATTTGGGTTCCTCCTTCCCTAGCGAGGTCTAAGTGGTTCTTCTTGTAAAGGTTGTGCTTCATAATGTTGTCGATCTTCATCTCCTTGATATGCATTAGAGGAGGACACTGTTTGATTTTGACTTTGGACATAATAAAAGGACTAATGATAAGGTACCCCAATACCTTGAGCTAAAAGTGGAGTTGGGGCATAAGCTACAAACATGGTTGGCATGCCTAGATCAGAGAATGAAGAAATAAAATGTCTTTTTGCATCCATACTTCACTCTGCTTTTGGAGTGTTGTATTGATGCCCAGTGTCATCATATTCAGGAGAAGAGATATGTGTTGAAGTCGAGGCACGATGCATCCTAGGGTCATGCAATATATGTAGAGTAGATAAAAACAAAATTTAGCTACATACCACGACATGTACTCCCTAGTATGGACAAATGCCCTAGAACTAGTAATCCATTCAATGTTATGTCACTCCTATTATTCCATATGTGTATCCATTAAGCATGTATGGTAACCTAATTCTCATGTTGTCTCATCCTCAGGTCTACTTTACGGAGATCATCAGGAATTTTTGGTAATTCAAGAACATCTTTTGATAGGCGAAATTACGGAGATCATCAAGAATTTTTGGTAATTCTAGAACATCTTTAGATAGGCGAAATTGTAACCTGACCCTTTCAGACTAGTGTCATTCAAAAATTACAAAAGTTCAACAACTTGAACATATATATAGGCAATCTCTGTCTTCACAAATTGTTAGATTAAATTTAGTAGACACCATGATAATGACTAAAGCCTGCATGCATAATACATGATTATCAGACCTTGTGTAGTATGGATGTCAATAATGATATTTGAACCCCAAAGAATCAATGCGAGTTGTTACATGAAATTTTGTAGACACCATGAAACTATCATTGTTCTTGGCCACAATGAACATCTGACCCTATAAATAAAGCAACTTATAGGTTGTTCGATCAATCTAATTTACTTAGTGACACACTACCGCAACCAACCCTGACATCTACATCTAATATACTTTGACGACACCATCTTTACATAAGAAAACTACTCTTAAACATACATTAGTTCTCAAACTGCGTAGGTCACGATAACGAATACAATGACTATGCTCGAAGTGAAGCAAACAATCCTTAACCACTTCAACATGTTAGCACTAAATTAATATGAAGTTAACTTACGATACATGTTATCAATCTTCATATATGGCCACATTGCACATTATTGATCACGTACGATCTTTGCAAATGACGATATTAAGGCGTTATTTTTTATGGCAACAGAGAAAGCGGTAGAAGTTCATGTAAAGATAATGACATTTATTACAACAATTCACCTAAACGCAACCCCTTGTGAACTTTGTTACGATTTGCCTAATAACTTCAATTTGTGACTAAAATTATATTGAGGATGATGTCCCTTTATTTC